CCGTTACTCAAAAATAAGACTTCAATTTGCTCTTGGTTAAGTTCCACGATGTATTCGCGTGGGACGATACCTCCTTAGGCCGCAACGCAGTCATCCGTCACAGCATCGACACAAACACAGCGAAACCCCTGTGGCAACTCCCGCGCCGTATCCCACCTCGCTTTCAAGAGTAGGTGAGCGACCTAATGCAAACGATGCTAAACACCGGCATAATTCGACGCTCCACGTCAACATGGGAATCGTCAGTCACGTTAGTACCAGAAAAGACGGTAAACACCGGTTCTGTAGCGGCCGTCAACGACTTAACGCGGTCGCTACACGCGAATGACTCTCGAAACACTAGCCGGCGACCAGGGGTTTTCGACTTTAAACCTCAAGTCCAAGCATCGGCAAGTAGAGGCTTAACCCAAAGACCGACTGAAAACCACGTCTATACTACTGCAAGGGATCTTCAAGTTTGAAACAATGCCGTTTGGCTAAGTAACGCAGCCACCACTTTGCAACGTCTGATGCAGTCCGCGATGGCCCACTTATATCCGCAGAGCTGCCTGATATATCCAGATGATGCCATCTTGTTTGGATGGAAGAATAGAATAGGTTTATTTTAACGTCCCTTGGTCACTGTCAGTGCCCTCTGAACTCAGGAAACAAGCCCAAACCAAACTCATCCATTTAGACTGCAATCTGACTTCATCTGTTTTGGGTGTCTGTTTAGCCAATAGAGCTCGAACTGTCAGTTTCTTCTAAGTTAAAAACCTGAGTTTCAAGGCAAAATAATTGCGTAAGTTTTAAAAAAGAACGATGTGTACTATAAAAAATTGAAGTGTGAATTTGGGTAGTCCTTGGGGGCATGGATAATATGACCTTGATGGAAATTGAAGGACTCTGATATCGGCCTGACATTGAAATTATTTTCGAGTTGAATAAATTTGGGTGCCTTCTAGTTGCCGGTTGTCAGTGTATTTTAATGTCTCTGATCTGATTTAGAACGAACCCCGAGGAGAACTATGGCAATTTATAAAGAAATAATGAGACGTGTGTTAAAATGAACCTACTACAGTACTCGCTAATGGCCTAATGTACACAGGTAGTTTCAGTTTCAATTTATTAAGGGAAATATAGGCGAGCGCCTTTGAACTCCCTATTGGTTACAAGTTGTCGGAGAAAAACATTGATAGTGGGAAGGGGAAAAAGGGGTTTTGTACATAATCGCTGACAGCTAGTCAAAAAGAGTAATCGATAACGGTAACTAACAAGTTACAAGTAGTATAACAAGTAGCATATCAGGTAGGGCCGCAGGAGTACTTGATTAACAGTTAAGTCGGTAGACAACAGGAAGCCGGAACTCGGGCGTCCTATTTCCTCTCTTGGTTAGCTTTCTGGCTTATTTGTAGGACCTCGGGCGTTGAAGTAATCCAAATATTCGAAGCCGAGGTTGTGATTGGTCGAGAAGCATTGTGAAAAGAAAACTGTTCACTTACTTCCACTTGATTTGTATTTACTGCATATTTCTTATGTTAAGTAATTTTATAAGAAACCCTAATTACAACAAACAAGACACTACGTTTTAACTCACCAATATGCATAGTCAAAGTTGGTCGTGCAAACACCAACCCTATAAGTAGTAGTAGCGATTGCGCGCGCCCCTGCAGGGCTGGTGGTGTAGGTTACAGTTCATTACATTTCCCCCACCGACGAAAAAGATCTGCTGTCCTCAGCAACATCTGGTTTCGCAATGGCCTTACCTCCTTCAGGGGGCACTTCCACGATCCTTTCGACTTGCTGTTCATTACTGAGTTCTTCATGCCTCTCGTAGACCACTTCAGGTGTAACCTCCAAATATTGTTCGACAAACTGGTTATCGTTCCTTTGAGATGGGTCGGCTTGCAGTCCGGAGCGTCGATACTCTCATCCATAGTTTGCGCGGACTCTAGGCGATTGAAGTGTACCGTGAACTCGCTCGAATATGGCCTATCTTGATTACGAATGCGACAAGTCTTATCGGACAGGATTTTGGTATCGACGAACGGGCCAGTCCAATTAATTAAATTCAATTCAAATTCAATCATTCTTATTAAAGACCCGTCGGGGTCCCATCAAAGCAAGTAAAAGTAAATTTACATGCAAATTTTAGACGAGGTAGGCAAAATCTGCACAAAGTTCAGTACATAGTTTTTGAGATTAGAAGTCCGTTAAGCAAAATGGAAATGAAAAAACGAGGGGTGAAAAAAAACTCCAAAGCAAAATTTAAAAATGATTGTAGTAATTAAACAGGAGAAAAAAAACCCCTCAGAAAAATAGCATCCGAAAAAAACAGGGAGGACTGGCCTGCATGTGGCGGTACAGAATGGAATATAGTCCGACATCAACATGGCCGAAATAAATGTCAGCTGTATATGGCATTGTGAAACGGATTTCATTAAAATGGTACGTAGGCGGGTCGGTCAGGACTGGCCTGTATCGCCTTGAATAAGAAAAATAAGTGGCTAAATTGAAAACCAGTCTCAAGCCGATAGGAACCCAGATGCGGTCGGTTACATTCAACCGAGTCCATCCGAACATGGGGGAAGGGAGGTGCGACCAGACTACTAGTATAGGGCGAATATAGAAGGCTTTGTCAAGACCGCCGATGGAGCGCATTCAGTAAGGGCACGATGACAACCAGTCTCGAGGCGACAAGAACCCAGATGCGGTCTGGTACATTCATCAGAGTCCATCCGAGGATAGGGCAAAGGAGATGAGACCAGATTACTAGTATATGGCGAATAAAGAAGGCTTCGCCAAGAGCGTCGATGGAGCGCATTCAGTGAGGGCATCATGAAGATCAGTCCCGAGGCGATAGGAACCCAGATGCGGTCGGTTACATTCATCCGAGTCCAACCGAGGATGGGGGAAGGGAGATGCGACCAAACTACTAGTATATGGCGAATA